TCGATATATACTTCTATTTTAATTTATTTTGTAAATATTATACATTATATTGCTATATTGTTATACGATATATCAAAAAGTCAAATTAAATATACATTCTCTCATATCATTAGTCATATCCTTCAACTTCGATGCGTTAATTATGCTTTGTTACATTCGGCGTATTTGCTTTCCTTAATACGTACCTAAAATGTACGATGTCCTTGCTCGAGAGCAGAAACTCTTTTGGGAAATGTTCACGTTCGATCTCCTTAAGAATGTTGTTCCGTCTCTCGTAAGTCTGCGATTCTTGTCGACTTTGTCGGTGAAACACCTGTAACGTAAATTGTTACATAAAAATATATACACTTACTCAAAAAGCTCGACCCTAATAGGATTAACTAGACATTGACTTTTCCCTAGATTTCGATATCCTTTCGCGTTCACTCCGAGCAACGTATCGCATATCGGCGTTGCTGAATTTATATTATTCAGAACTAAGTTTAGAGGATAAGCGATCAAATACGGAAATACATCTCAAACACAAACACAACAAACACAACTCTTGTTTAATTATAATTCCACATGTCTATTATCCGTTCGCCAAATATTTACATAAGAATTTTTATTCGCTACATATTATCAGCATCCGATGCTGCACGTGTCGTATGTGTATCTGTTATACACGTGTTTCATCGTACATGTATCTGATATACAGGAATTTATGTAGAAAAGAATTGCTCTTTTCTTCGCGATGCTCAAGTCCGAATATGTCTGCGAGAGCAGGGTAAAGTCGGCGTTCGAGTGGTTTTAAAATAACTATTGTTGTGACGTGGACTTAACGAATGACCTTGGCCTAAAATGACTAATCTACTCCTGCACGGTCCCCTTTACTATATATTTTTCTAAATCCACGGAAATATTCACTAGAAAAATTCAAACTTTCTTTTTTTACTCAGCCGTTTGGTAACCGTGCAACGTGCCAGGAGTTTGGTCATTTTCGTAATTTTGCCCGCTTCGTTCACCGAAAGCCTTTTCCGTCGATAAGCGAATACGATGGCCGATAAAAGAGCTACGGATCCTGCGATTTATTTTCGTCCCGGTGCGTAATCTCGAAATATTCCTCCTACTGTGATATCTGGGGGAAAGAGGAGAGCACGTATCGCGCAGGGATCAAGCTCGATCCGTTGTCAGCCTACGAGTAAAACTAAATTTGTTCGTATTGAAGAAACGATCTGCTCAACACATTTGCAGCTGATAATTTTACGAGAATCTCAAAGCAGAAAATGGCGATTAAGGTCACTGGTTGCTACAATTAATTTCTTAAATAATTTCTATAGTTACGATAAGAATTGAAATTCTTGCTTTCTTAGTGATTAACAATTGGCCATGTCAGTGGCAGCTAATGTGTTAATCCATCGAGACGTCTATATTTTCTGTAGCAATCCGTTGTTTGTATTTTATGTAATTTTAGCACTGAACGATTCCGTATTAAAATCGAAAAATAATTTAAATTTCATGACCCATCATGTACTTTTTATGAAAAGATCGATAAGGATTATAGCAAACGTTAGGTTTGGCTCAGGGGAAATGTTTGTGGAAATGTATTAATAATTTAAACGTTAAATGAATATGGATTAAAGTCTGTACGTGCTGACAAAACATAATCTTACAAGAGTTTATTAAACATTAGACTTTTGACACCGTCTAATAACTATGATAACGTTTGGAGTTAGACAAATTTTAATTCGTAGGAATGAGACATGCAACAAATATACTATTTTCTATTTTATGAAAGATAAAAGTAAGTGATAAGCATGGAAGATAACTTTTCAATTCACAACAGCACATTTGGTCTTTGTGGTATTGAAAATTCTTAACGTTCGTCGTGTCCTATATTTCTAGACGGTGATCGTATTTTGCGGCGAATTTCGCTCCAAATCAAGTGGAAGAGCTGTCTTTTTCTTAGAGAGAAACGACATAAAATTTCTAGCACTTGTTCATACCCACAGAAATAAACAAAAATTTGAGAATATGCTTCAGTTACGTGCCACATTTACGTAACTGAAACTACGATTGCCTCTTACTTCTCCATGGAAAAGTCTCGTTTAACAACGAGTCGAGACAATTTCCAGACATTGAAACATTAACAGTTAACAGCCAATTTGCATCTTTCTGAAGTACGATATTAAGTCTAGCATAAGTACTTGGAGAATTTACGCGGAACTCTATTTGTACATGAGATAAATCAGTGCTCCCGCTTTCTATATACATCATACTCCGTGCAAGCAAAGCGCAGCCAGCTCTTACATTACATGGCACTTTAAGCAAAACGATAGAAGCACGAAAGCCGACTTCCGTAATAAAACAAGATGAAAACCTAACTGGTGACTTGGAGAACTAGTAGCGTACACCTTAGCCCCTAAGTTTAACTTAGCTTTCATGGAACATGTTGAAACAAAACAGGCTACTAAACGCAAGCTCGGGCACAAATTCTCTGATAATCCGTTCGATAAAATTCTCCGTTTGTTTCAGTTAATTCTTAGAATAAACGATTCGCGATCTTAAGATCAACGGTCCGCCGTTTCTTCCCGAAATGGGAGAAGAAACGATGCTTGACGAAGCTCCCTTAGAAAAATTATTCTTCAGATACGAAGAAAAGACGCAAATGAGACGGAACGGTATCTATGAAAACTTCTTTCGAAACTATTTCAGGAAAATTATTCCATAGATTCGAAGAAAAGCAACGGAAGAGGAAACGATATTTACAGGAACTTTCTTTTAGACATTTTTTCGAAGAAATCGTATTTCAAATACGAAAGTAAAGAAGAAAACAGAAGGAGAAACGGTATGCGTGGAAATCCTTCTCGAAACTGTTTCGAAAAAATTATTTAGATAAGAGAAAAGATATTTAGGAAAGTAACCAGAAAGAAGAAACGGTATCGATGGAAACTTGGACGTCGTGTTTCGGAAAAGATATCCTTCGGATACGAAGAAGGGCCAAGAGAAGAAACGAAGCGTTATAGAGTAAAACAAGAACGAAAGATGGTAGAAGCATAGAAAGAGACGATAGTGTGAATTTTCAAAGCGGCGCATTTTCCTCGGTCCGCTTAGGGCCTGGGGCCGCCTAGTTCGGCGAGCGTCGCGACGCCACGCGAGGCAAGCCTTTTTCGTGCCTGTCGGGCAAGAAGCATCCCACGAGAATGCGGGGGCGTTCTGACGAGAGCATATATTCGACGTCGGGACGCTCCCGAGGCACAGACGCCACTCCAACTCTGTCCCGTGCACGGTACGTAGAAACTGTTCTCTGGAAACGATATTTCATTTATCACGGACGCTATCGGCTACCACCAAGAACCCTCGACACCATCGAAGATACCGGAAGCCGATCGATCCCTGCGATTGATTTTGTTATATCGATCGGATCGTAGGATTTTTCAACCGATCCTTTGGATAGAAGAGAGCCATAGTTGGAGGCGTAGCGGTACGCTGTTAGACTTTTAAGGGAGTGGTCGAGTTTCCTTCCGGTATCTCGCATCTGAAATAGCATCGAGGGTTAATTGCGTGTGTTCTGAGAACCAGAAGTAATTTTCTAGCATTTGTGTAATAGAAATCACTTAACTGATTAATTTTTTTTTTTACAGAAAACGATCGATTATTTACGATTTAGATTTGTACGATAGCTTAATTTTAAAAGAGTTCCCTCAGCTGCATCGTGTACGTTAAATCGTATTTCGATACTTGTTTGCAGCTTATTAATGCGATATAGAATCTTGGCTTTTATCGAAAAGTTCGGATAGTAATAATTGGTTTTAGATTTTCTTTCCGTCAAATGTCGAAGCAATTGTTTTATTCGATCTTTTGATATCTACCTTTGTTTTAAACGCAACAAGTAATACGATCTCTTTAGGAAAATTCGTTCTTGCAATCGAAAGTATCCAACACTAGATATCTATTTTTGTGCTAATATTTTATATATTTTTATCGTAATATTTGAAATACAAAATCAGGTTAGTGTTTAAATTTCATATCTATTTGTAAATTACGCATCAACGAATATTATATTGAGGATATTTATTTTCTAAAGGAATTTTTATTTCTTATCGTCGATTTGAATCAATCATACCGCACCATTGAAACTTTTTATTCGTTCTATACGTTTTGTGTACACGATTTCGCTGGCCTTATTAAGTTACCGAGAATAGTTAGAAATACTATTTTTAGAGTAGAACAAATTTTCTCGCTTGTCGTTCGAATTTTTAAAAAAAGAAAGATATATATGAAATTTAATATTACCACGCTATCGTTTAATTTTGACATACGAGAACCTTTAAATTGGTCCAAGTGGTCTTTGCATTATTTGATAACATTTATCTTAGTAAATTTGAGATCATTAAACAGCAAGTTCTACAAATTACATCTGTTCTCTGCACTCGCAAAATATCTACTTTAAAATCATCGCATCTTGCTAACACCTATCCAACGGTAAAATCATAAATTGCTATCCCATTTATGGCAACGCAAAATCCAATTAACGATATGAAAAGATATCGAAACCTAAAACCTCAAACTAACTGCTTTCTGCTTGCAAAATTACATATAACTGTATACTCGAAAGAATACTCGCTCTGATTACAAAAGACAGCTGTCATCGACGAATTTCTAATCGTTTTAAAAATTTCCTCGCTGGTGTATCGTCATTTTACGCGCGAATTTCTTCTCTCGATATCGAAATTCTTCTAACCAGCTAATCACGAGTGCCAAAAATACCTGCGCGGGGCGAATGGCCGACTCTATCGTCATGTTTAGGCATATTCGAGGTCTTTGCCCGTGTGCGAAGTTAGTCCTTTTGCGAGCAGAGCATAATTTTGGCACGCGCGAGCCACGTCGTTATGCTGTATCTTTCGTGGTCCGAGCGGAGTCGCGGCGAGCAGAGACGATGTTACCCACCATAATCGACGCTTGCACTTATTAGGGATCGTCCGTCGGTCGTACGTCTAAAGTTAGCGTCGCGGCGCCCC